GATTCTCAAGCACTGGGTGCGCCCTCGAAGACAAGCAAGCAGGCACTTGAAAGCATTACTATGTATTCTCGAACAGACTTTCCTCTTACAAATGTTTCATCAGAAATAGGGGAGATCTTTTCGCCGCGTGACTGAATTTATAGGCACTGTTCTGTTAGGTATTTATAAGTACATAATACAAGTTCCGAAGATATCACATAAATATCACATAAATTATAATAAAGTCTGCTGTCGTGTAGGCTTACGGCCGTTTTCAATAACCTATCTATCCCCAGTTTCGGTTGCTAAAGATAGACAAATCTATATTTTTGTCCTTACTTACGTTCCAATAACCTATCGACGGGCAGCAGTTCCTATCGGATTTATCTATCCATCGTCGGGAGGACGGATAGCCTGCTAAAGATAGAACGCTCATACAAATCGTGCTTACTTCCGTTTCAATATGAGTTTTAAGTAACTCTCCGGTAGGCGGCGCTATCTCTAGTNATAAGGGCTGCACAGTTCGGCTTCTCTTTTCATGAATTTTTCAAATTTAATCAGATCCGGATCCTCCTTCGGTTGTACCGCGGTGAAGTCGTAGTATCGGTAACGTAGTGTTGGTGTGAGTTTTTCTAACATTGTTTTGGTAGTTTCCGGATTATATAAGTAATGTGTGCAATTTAATGCACGAAGCGTAGCTACGGCGTTGGTCACTTTACTGGAGAATATACAAATGTCTCTTGGTGTTTCTGTTAGTCTTGGCAGAGCTCGTAGCGTGTCTAACTCCGTTATGGCTATCGTTTCCGGTCTTCCGAATCGCGCTTCTAGACTTCTTATGACGTCGGACGGATCAGCGTTCGTTATAAGCAATCCGTCAACGGCTTCCTTTGCCCTTCCTTTCAGGTTCCTTCTGAGTCTGTTTATATTTTCTGTTTTTGTAAATGAATTCACTGTCTCGTGATAGGCTGCGCGAAAGGATAGCCAGTCTTGGTGATTGCCGTTAAAGAATGGCAACTCTGTGTATCTTGCTATTGGTACCCCCGACGATCGTTCGGAGATAAAGCTCCTCGCCGGCTGTGAGGCCGGGGAGGACCTATGAGCGCCCCTCTTGGAGCTGAGTTTCATCAGCCTCTAGGCGTCTCTTGCCCGCGTCTCTTGCCCGCTTGGCGGGTCCCCCATGTGGGGACCGCGGCTGCACCCCGAAGGTGTAGCCTTATTTCCATCAGGGGCTTAGACCCCACCCCCCACCCCCTTTTGGGATGGGGTATTTATACCCGCTACAGTCCTCCCTCCCATCAAAATTATAATAATGGGGAGAGGGGGGGAGGACTCTAGCGTGGAGTGCGGCTTAGCTCTCTNGTAATGTGCTCTGCGTCAACCCTGTCCCGCCGTTTCAATAGCCCCGACTGGGCTCCGGCCCGGTCCGAGGTAGGGCGCCGGTTGTGAGCGGCAGGAGTTTTTAGTGAGGTTCAACTCCCACATACCCCACCTGCCGCGCGGGTGGGGATCCGGCGATTTTCTCCTGTGGAAAAAAAAAAAAAAAAAAAAAAAAAAAAACGATGATAACCTTGAGCGAAGGCGCATTATCGTGATGCAAAATTCAGAAAATTTATTTCCACAAATCTGGCCTTTTTCGTCGTATTTTCTCTCCGCCACATAGCGTTCAAATAATATTCTTATATACCATTTGACCTTGGGGGTAAGATTTCCGAATGCACAACACCGAGATAGTCAAAGAAAACAGTCAACATGACTTTGACTTTTCATCGACTTTGGACTGTTTTTTTCGTTTAAGATCAGTTGGAAGGTGCCACTCCGAAGCTATCTGACTAGTCTGCGTATCAAGCTCGTAAATCTACGTCTCATTGTCACCACAATGCGTTTTATTGAATACTAGCTGACCCGGCAGACTTCGTAGTGCCTCAATCGATAAATAAAAGACCTAAACTTTTGTATAAAATAAATTTAAAACAAAGAAAAGGAATCCGTCCGACGGGGGACACATCAAAGGAAAAACAAAATTGTTATTTTCCTTTGATTCCGAGCATTTTTATACTTATCTACCTTTTAAACCTTCTCTGAACATCCACAAATAATTCAAGACCAAAATTAGCCAAATCGGTCCAGCCGTTTTCGAGTTTTAGCGAGACTAACGAACAGCAATTCATTTATATATATATATTAGGTCGCAATTGATTCGTTCTACCATGTCCACAGCGACTCTTAGGCGATTGATCTTTTGGAGTAAATTCACGTGTTTTGGAACTAGCCGACCGGCAACATGTTTCATACTCAAGTGAATATTTAAAGTGGAACGGATCGATTCGTGAGCTACAGAAAGTTCGGCGGCTATAACTCTTAAAATTGATTGAGGATTTACAGTCGTTATTTCTTTCACTTTTGCGATGTCAACTTCGGCTGCAGATGCAAACTCTTTGTTCGATGTTTTTTTTTATTCATTCATTTATTTATAACTTTATATACTTGATAGTTTATAGGAAGACTTAATGCCATAGGCATTCTCTGACAGTCTACCTTAGGGGAGTGCAGAGATGAACCTTGGTAGGTGAAGTGTGTTAGTGATATTACTTAAATATTATGAGTTTGATGACTCTGCTAACTCTCTGAGAAACAGTTCTCGAACCCTCATTTTAGTGCATTATGAAATTTGCAATACACACTAGACGTGATTTAACTAAAAACAGCACTATAGTTAATCTATATTACAGACGCAACTTAACCTCCGCGCCATAATCGAATACAGTTGTGCCAATCTAACAACAACAAAAAAGTCTAATAAATAAATCAAATATTTCCTATATATTTTTTAACTAAATATATGTATTTATAATAAAGAAAACCGCTTAGTATAATTTTCTCATTTGTTGGTTTTTTCTCGTCCGATACCTAGTAATGAGCTTTAGAGTTGTCAAATAAAAAACAAAGGTACTTCGAATTGACAAAGAACCTTCATGTTCTGAGATTTTTGAGTGAATTTTTTTTCAAATGGTACCTATGAGGTTCTTCTTTTAAAAAATGTGCGACATTCGATTATCGACTTTCGACTATAGAAGATAGTTTGATTAAATAAATTATGTTAAATGAAAAATTGAACGAATTTCAATTTTTCAGTGCAAATCGGCAATTTCATACTTTAACCCCTAATATGTACAGTAAAAAAAAGATAAAAACGTGAATCATTTATTTGTGGTAGAGTAGTGATGGTACTGGTTAGTACCACGGCTTATTTCTGTTTTTTCTTTATTATTTTTCTGCTTTTAGTATGAGACATCCTTTATACTATACATAATTCGACTTCGTGTTCACGTTGCGTGACTGCATTCATATTGCGGTGTCTGGAGTCTTCGGCTGGTACTTAGCATCGGGTGACCACGATCTCGTTCACCCGTCAATTGATACATAAAAGAATCTTTTAATTATTTTAAGATATAATCGCTTGAACTTCTAACGTAAATAAATCAACTACAATTGTTTTAAATACTATTTTACAGTTTTTATAGAAAAGTGACAATATGACCTTCTGTCTATAACATCAAGTAGTGTGTTTTTAATTATTTTCTACTACTTTAATATTATCTTTTTTTTTATTATTTCCCTTGTAGGCTGACGAGCATACGGCCAACCTGATGGGGAGTGGTTACCGTCGCCCATGGACTTCAGCAATGCCAGGGGCAGAGCCTAACCGCTGCCTACCGAAGCTGTTTACTATGTACCTTCCTACGAACATATAATGTTCATACGGATCTGTGGTTAAATAATATAATCGTTTTATTTATACAATCCACTAAATCAGTAATAGATCTTCAGTTAAATTAAATTATAGTACAGCCATAATCACGCCCAAAACATCGTTTGTTACTAACAAAAGTCGTCATTCTGAAATTGTGAACACGTGCGCCTCGTAAACACAAAGTTCGGAGTGCACATGAAACAGTTTGCATTGGGACATTGCATAATTATTTTTTGTACTTCCCTAGACACCTGACCCAAGCTTTTGTTTAGGTCAACAAATATGATACTCGTAAACAAGTTCATTATCTATATAAAATTCAAGTCATCAATTTCAAGTGATTTGATTTCAAGGTCTTGATTTCATTCCAAATGGTATTTATTAGCATATATTATGGTACATATTTTTTTATTTATCGGAGCTAAATATAGCATTATACCGTACGTAATCAAGAATAAATGGCTTAGCGGACCTTGCCTAAGGAGCATACAGGCCCTAGTATTCTAAACATGTACTTATTTTCAGTGATTCAGATTTCAATTATTTTATTATTTATAGCTATCGATATGATTTAAATTCAGTTGGATTTTCAACCAGGTATCTCAAACTGGGTAGTGGGATTCATGTTGTGATAATGATTCACGAGATGATGAGATGGTTTTTTTTTTTGATAACGCCATCTTGTTGTGTCTTTAAAGCGGTTAGTTGCCCTCAATTAAGAAAAATAGTAAGTATTATTCGCCAATAGATGTCGGGAAGAGTTGATTATTGAAACCACGAATAAAACAACATTTTCTGAAAATAAATCGTAGCTAGATCGATTTATCGCCCCCGAAATCCCCTGTATACTAAATTTTATGAAAATCGTGGGACCTGTTTCCGAGATACAGATTATATATATATTAATATACAAGAATTGCTCGTTTAAAGGTATAAGATGAACCGCTTGCTTGCAATATGTATGTAAAACTCCATTTATTAATACTAAGCCCGATTATGCATGGTTTGTGTTACAGTGAATGGTATTTAGAGAATTTTAGTTAAATTCCAATATTTACGACCGATAGTGGAAGTTGATATATTTATGATATTTATGTGAGCAATTCATTCAAATTTGTGCACTAAAGTCTTTAAAATAAAGCTTTGTCTTGTATAACAGAAAATTATATGGGCATTACTTCGGTGTGCAGTATAAGGAAAATGAGCATTTGAAGGTGAACTTACCGAAGCTACCTTCAAACGCTGCCGCTGGTTAATGACACAAAATAAATACTATTTAAAATGCGTTATATTCAACATAAAAGGAACAATATAAAATTAACTTAATCTATAACAATATGGCACGGCATTTATGCCTACTAATACTATACGGCTAATTAAATTTTCAGTTCCATTCATGTCCGCCATGTTGTCTTCTATGGTTCAATGATGTTGTCAAATAATATAGACTTCGACAAAGCGAATGAGGTCTAGCTTGCCATTCCGAAAAAAAATTATTGAAATTCGAACATCAAGCACTGTTGAAGAATTTGTTGCAACCGTCTCATGATTTTCAATGCTTGTGTTTTTTTTTTGCCTTTATTAATTTCTATCGATAAAATTGTTCGGTCTTTGCTGGAAGGTTTGGGGTCTTTTTCTTAGAGCCTCATAGGCTTTCCAGTTCAGGTACCAGAAGGGTTGGTTCTCGATTGGTAAAGAATTTAATCGGTTAATCAGATTGCCGTCGCCTCGGACTTCGATAGGAGCTTCCTCGTCTTCCCCGAATCTGTTCGATAGCAAATCAGTCTCCACGGCTGGATACCCTATGGGACTGAGGCCAGCGTAAAACGGTCTTTGGGCTTTTACAAACGCTCCCAGAATCATAAAAACGAAAAGTATGGTGTTTAATGTTGCCATCTGGAAGAAAAAAAAACGTACCATTGAATGTGGGAAGAGATCGTGACATATAAACGATCATTAAAAATAAACAAGCAATTATTTTAATAAAAACAGGTCCAGAACCGGCTCTTGGAACGTGTTGATACAATAATAATACAAAAACAATTATATTGGACGTGTGTAAGTCATTGTAACAAGCTTATTTAATTTTCAAAATAAGACAAACAATGAAGAGACATAAATAAACATTCAATGTAAAATATTTATATATGTATGTGTCTCAAAATGTCTTAATACTACTGTACATATACTAACGCAAAATTATCCATCACAAAAAATATATATATATTCGGAATTTAAAAAGTATTATAATATAAAACTTGGAAAAAAACATTTATTTAAATTAAGTAAGTTAAATAAGCACAATTAACTAACGGACGTAGATAAATGTATCGTGTCACATAAAAAAAAAACAATATTTTCAAAGATAAATAATTGAAACGAAATCCTCGGAGACTTTTATTTGGACATCATTAGTTCGTAACAAATTTGAAATAATCGGAAGTTTAATATTGTGTTTTATTTACCTTGTTTAGCTGATGAAGGCCGACTGGGTGAATGCACTAATTGTTTACACGACCCGTGTTGGATGCAGACTGTGTTTGGATGAGACTCGCCTCTGTATAAATATGAATTGGCTTCACGGGTTATCGGATTGAACGAGCGTTCCACAGACATCATATGATTTAGAGATGTCATCATATTTTCTTTTTCATAACAAGTGCTGTTTTGTTATTTACATTAGATGTCAACACGTATTTAATTTTGTTTATCTTTATCATTATTACATTTTATTTAGATAGTAATTTTAAATTGTTTTGTTGGTATAAAGAAACAGTTCTTATTAATTACCTAAATACTAAATTGTACTAGAGGTAGTATAAAACCTTGACTTTTTAGTAGTTACTGCTTACGGTTTTTTCGGTCGTGGAAAATACTAGCGTCCTGATTTCGAGAGCAAGGCAGACTTTATTCTAAAATTCCTTTTATATTGCTATTTAGATATCACTTCTCTATAGATCGTCATCCATGTAACACTCCTCATGCTTATCGTAATAAAACTGATGGAGGCCTAGTTAGGCCTGCTCTGATTTGAAGAGTAAAAGAAACTCGCCACCAATGCAATTGAGAGTTCGGTCTCGCATCTTAAAGTATCTATTGGTTATGGTAAAAAATCTTATCTTATACCTTTAAACGAGCAATTCTTGTACATAAACTTATATATAATCTGAATCTCGGAAACGGCTCCAACGATTTTTATAAAATTTAGTATACAGGGGATTTCGGGGCCGATAAATTTAAGATCTAGCTACGATTTATTTTCAGAAAATGTTGTTTTATTCGTGTTTTTAATAATCAACTTTATTGATATCTTCCCGACATCTATTATAAATAATAATAATAAAATAAAAAGCCTTTTATTTCTTGCATTTAAAAAAAGTTACATTACAAAAATTATAAAAAAATTTGTTGATAATACATTAATAATAATCGATATTTATTATGATAGAATTCTTAATAAATTGTGTATAATATTAGTCGGATCAACATAAAATATGTAAAAAAGGTTATATTAATTTAGCATGCAGGCATGCAAGAACCCCTCTTATGTGAGGGTGAAGGCCTCCTCCAGACTTTTCCATTTGTCTTTATTTTTGGCAATTGTCTTCCAGTTTTTACCAGCGATTTTTATTATATCGTTGTCCCAACGCGTTACCGGTCTTCCTTTCCTTCTAATACCTGCAGGCCCCCGCCATAGCGTGAGTCTACAGGTCCAGCGGTCGTCGCTCATCCTGGCTACATGGCCTGCCCAGCGCCACTTTAACTTTTGTGAGAAATCTAGTGCATCTATAACTTTAGTCTTTTCCCGTATGACATTATGTGGGATTTTTTGTATTTTTCTCACATTCGTAATGCTTCTCTCCATACTTCGTTGACAAGACCTGATTTTGTTCTTTACGCGTAGCGTATATTTCCACGTTTGGCAGCCGTAGGTAATAGAGGGGAGCAGGCACGTGTCCATCAAACATCTATCCGACATCTATTGGCAAATAATAATACTATTTTTCATAATTTCAACTAGCTGCTTTAAAGACACAATAACACTAAGGCTATTTCAGCAGATGGCGTTGTTAAACCACTTATTAAAAAATTAAAAACCGAGCAAAGCTCGGTCATCAGCTAGTTAATGTTGACGCTAGTAAAAAATCAGCTAGCGTTTTGTTTAAATTTTAATTTCGAATGTTTTGGATAAAATATGTTTTCGCGTTCCTGTCGAACAGAAAATAAATGTGGTTGAAACTGCTTTTTTTTTTTCGTTTAGCTTCTTCAAAGAAATGTAGGTAACCCAATTCGTTATCTAAAGTATCTTGTATTGTCATTATTGCAGTATGCTTTATACGCAATATCATTATAAATATCATCATATCATAAATAACAGTTCATAGATCAATTAATCCCAGCTATAGACAGCTTATTGTTAGAAGTCTAACTTAGCAAAAAATTTCAAAGTACTATCTACTATTTCGTAATTAACAACTGACTACGCGATTACTCGGGAGCTTTATTATTTTTTAAATGAACTCAACTCTCAACGTTGAGTAATAGTAAAACCGTTTATTGAAATAGAAAATGCCCAATATAAACCCGTAAAATAAATCTAATGACCATTTATTAAAGCAATGCGACCTCTGAACAGTTCTAAAGCCAACGTAAAAACCCATTCTACAAACGCGCGGGAATACGGGCTCTCTACCAGTGACGTCATTGATTGTGTTCGAGCTAAACGATCACCAAAATTCGGTGAACCATAGCCGAAGATCGGTTTCGCTTATATTCACTAAAGTAAAAAGATCTTAGTTAATTGGTTTTTTTGTTCGCGCACGGTTCTAACGATGATTCAATAATCTGACGTATTTTGTTGCATCGCGTTTGTATTTTGCAAGTCATTTTCTTAGAGGCGTGGCCGGCATCGTACCTACGTAATAAGTATCTTTTGGGACTGGCGTATCTTTAAAAATCCATCATTTTATATACGTATAATATATAAAGGGACTGCCCATTTCAGGGCCAAAGTGGATAATAGATTAGAGAAAAAATACTTTGTGCATTAATTTTGGCATAAATAAATATTATGCATTTAATTTCTTCCAAACTAGCGGCACTACAATATACAATAAGTAGTTTAAAACAAAGTAACTCTATTGAAAAAACAAGATTTTTAATTTTGATGCGGAAAAAATATTGCACTTCGCTTGCTGCTTTTACGCTCAAAATGAATATGTTTTGATTTTTCTTTAACTGGTGGTTAATGTTCGAAAGATGTGGTCTTTCTTTTTCGTTTATTAAAATCGATTTCGATATCGATTAACTTTGTCGCTTGTCTGTGTGATCTATTTGATACTGATCAAGAACTAGCGGGGACAGTTCTGAGAGTTTGAAGGAATCTAAATAGTCTGAGTCGATACAATTAACACGTATAGACAGCTGCTATACGAAGGCTAGAAATACCGTTTAGCTAACGGCAAAAGTAACTACCGCTACTTTGTCAATTGTAGTAGGTACTTTGTCAACGATAACATCAAATTATTTCTATTGTATACTTTATAAGTATTCGGCTTTCTTCAGATTAAAATCAGTCTTTGCCTTAGCTACTGCAAAGTGTGACATTATATCTTTTTTTTTTAATGTTTAGATGGCTGGACGAGTTCACAGTCCACCTGGTGTTGAGTGGTTACTGGAGCCCATAGACATCTGCAACGAAAATGTGCCACCAACCTTGAGATATAAGTTATAAGGTCTCAGTATAGTTACAACGGCTGCCCCACCCTTCAAACCGAAACGCATTACTGTTTCACGGCAGAAATAGGCAGGGTGGTGATACTTACCCGTGCGGACTCACAAGAGGTCTATGTAAATGTAATTTAAAAACATAAAAGAAACACTTAATAACTTAGTCGAACGGAATACTAAAATATTCCTTTTCCTCTTATAATCTTAGCCAGAGAAGATAAGAGAAAGTAATAAAATGATTGTATTGCAGTTAGTTCTTGATTAAGTGAATAAAATTTTCAATTTAACTATAATGTCTTGAAGTTGGTGAAAATTACGTTAGATTATACCGTTACATAGAGAAATACTAATCAAGTAATAGAGGCATATGAAAATCGAAGAGTTAAATTTGAACATTAAAAAAAAACTATTAATCTCTTTTATATAAGTAGAATGAAGTATGTCGTACCTTACGTTAAAGGCTCGGAACAATTTCTATAAAACATTCTATTTTCAAAAGCGTGTCAATGAAGACTCATCGTCATCATCATCTCAGCCTGTCCATTGTCCACTGCTGAACATAGGCCTCTCCAAGTGATCTCCAGTGCAGCCGGTCCGTTGCTACCTGCATCCAACGTGACCCAGCGGTTCTTACCAGGTCGTCGGTCCATCTCGTAGGTGGCCGTCCCACACTGCGCTTGCCAGTACGTGGTCTCCACTCGAAGATCTTTCTGCCCCATCGGCCGTCCGATCTTCGCGCTATGTCAATGAAGACTGCTATCTTATATTTAGTTTGCAATAACAAATGTAAAAAACGCTATTTCACAACAAATTTCAGCCAAAATATTAAGCACTAATTTCAGTAGCTTTTTATCAATAACATGTCATAAATAATAGGCGGAATTTTGCGGTAGGCAGCGGCTTGGCTCTGCCCTTGGCATTGCTGAAGTCCATGGGCGACGGTAACCACTCACCATAAGGTGGGCCGTATGCTCGTCTGCCTACAAAGGCAATAAAATAATAATAATAATAATAGTATGTAGAGTCCGTTCCGACTTCCAGACCTGAGATATTATTTGAATGTAAACAACCTTAATTTAACAAATTAAGCATAGGTATTTTGCAGTTCTCTTAAGTTTACTTTGCGTTATATACATGACTGTTTTACTATCTGTACTGAGAAAAGCCGGTAGCTACAATTCGCGTGGCTTTACGTAATTTCCGGGCGTCTCGGTTCATTGTTAATTACGTTACATTGTGGGCCAAGCAAAAGGTATGGTATGAAAAAAATGAATATAGATTTTTAGGACCATCAAATGATTCAAACATCTATCTTCGTTTTCGAAAATAGTTTGAATTAAGATAAGAATAGAAAGCGTTCTTAAAAAGTGATTATATTATAATGTTTAATGTAGTCTAGTCAAAAGGTACTTAGTTTAGGAATGTACACATAAACCGAGCCATAGGTGTTTAGTAATATTGTTTCCTAAGACCCAGCAAGAAATAATTTTCCCATATTCAATTAAATAAATAAAAATTAACCAAAACAAAATTTTGTATTAAAAATAAAATCACGATATAAAAAAAAAACTAAATATTAAATCATAATTTGAAAAGATAATTATTCATGTCATGGGAAGTTAATCGTAAGTTCAATATAAATCTGGATGCATACAGTAATAATTTTGAAAATAAAACAATACTACTACAAAATTAAATAAACTATCGCATAGAATTACTTAGTCTGTTATGTGTCTTGTCGAATCTTCACAGTGGATCGCTCTTCCGATCCTGTGGAAGATGCATTCAAAAAGCTGCCCTTAAGATATTAGTTCTATGAGACGCTC